TTTCTATCGTGCACTGCCTCTTATAAATTTGGAGCAAGATGTTTTTGTTAAATTGTGAACCTATCAGGAGATAGCCAGTTGGCTTTCCTGTCTATGGTAAAATGATGAAATCACTAGACCTTTTGCATTTAGATTTACGGCTATAACAACAGAGGGGTCTGTATTTTTTCGGCAAAAGTTATTTGTACAATAAAAACAAAAAATGTTTAATCTCATCAAAACGATTGGAAAAAGCCAGAATATTATTTTTTGATAGTAGAGAAGCCATCAAACCACCCAGTCCAGTACGAATACAGAATAAGGCGCTTCTTCGGATGTTGTATAAAGCTTTCGTATTTTTTCTCATGGGATCATCGGTCTTTTCTTTTTTGTTTTGCTCACCTTTCGTACACCATACATGTAAGTTATTCGAGAGATGATATCTTATACTTTTCTTCAAGTCACGAAGTTTTTAAGTTTGATTGTGGCCTCCATCTTGTTCAGTAAATGAATGAATGCACCGAATAATTGAATGCACCCAAGGACGATTTTATTGTTGATTGAAGTTGTTTTGGCGCATACGTTTTGTGTTTCGAACAAGGTAAACAGGTCATAAGTTCCATCTGCAAGTTGATTTCAAAATTTTTCATTTTGTACAGGGCGCCTGCACTTTTGATTCCATTGAACATAACGTCTAACTCTTCCCGATCATTGGCTTGTTTAGTAGTTGAAATCGAACTTTTTGTGACGAGTAAACTGTAGTGGCGTAACCAGAAACTGGCTATAGATACGGCGGTGGCCGTACCGCCTCCCAAAACTTTTTGGAGGTAGTGTTTGCCAAATTTTTGAAGACGTAGAAAGATAGTCTTAAAAAACTTTTATGCTCTAAACTGAAGTTCATAGGTACAAAAACCACACTTTTAACTGTTCACTTAACGGCATGTTTAACCTGAGTAAACCAGATCGCAGAGAACACAGGTGAGAAAAAAGTACACGAACATACACACGGAACTATTTCAAGAGAATGCGACTGTTCTTGTGTTCTATGGCAAAAACTGAAATCAACTGATCATAGTCAATTTCCATGTCACGCTCCACGGCTAGCAGACATAGATCGGACAAACGTTCATTGCCCATACTGTCAATGAAAACACTGATCGTACAAATAATTTTGTCGCCACTGTACATAAATTCTTCTGTGGTCATTTTATTTCGAAACAATCTGTTAACAAATAAAAACTTATCATGCATATGACAGTATTCTACTTCATACAAGTCGTTTCCTTCTACTCGAAAAAACGTGTTTACAAAATACGCTGTAATGTTGACTATGAAGTGAAATAGGGTTACGATAAGAACAATACATTGAAAACAAAATTGATTCCATATCTACTCTTTTTATTTTAAATGGTTAAAATGTTATGTCACAGTCCAAGAAGAACAAAAACGATGCTTGTTTTCATTCACTTGTCTTGCTTACCGTTTATCACTCTGTCTCCTCTCCTTATCAATTAAAAGTGTCTAGATATTTCATAAGATAGGACGACAGGGCTAAGTGGTTACGTTGTTCGTCACATGCTTCAAACGTACTGTGTTCGAACCTGGGCGACGATCGGCCATGTAGTAAGCGCGGACGAGTTACTTTTGTCTTAGTGTCTCCAATCATCTGTTAGACACCAGATTCATTACGTTCTGACGTGCACTACAGTTCTTCATGCTAATACTCCTTCCTTATTTTATATTAATATTGCCCAAATCGGGCTCAAAAGTTATTTTCTCTCTAACCTGATCAGACCCGAGCCGAATTTGTATTTTGTATTTTGACCCGAACCCATTTTGGTCTCTGGTCAAGATGCGGTCCAGTAGCGGGAGCGTGATAATCAGTAAAAATATTCTGATTTGAATAGTTAGTTATTCGACTATATTGAAATGCAAATTATCGTCGCACTGAAATTTTTTTGTATTTTCTCCCCTTAGTCATTTCATTTCATTTTATTATTCCATTTCAACGTTGTGTTTTTTGGACAAAGAACATTGAGCTGAGTGCATGCGACCTTCCGTGATCTATAATCCTTTTTACACTCAATTTATGCAGTTTCTCCTACTCAAAACAAATACAAACATTATTTATTCGATATAGTGGTATCAAACATAAAAGAACACACGAATGAATTTAGATGTACAAAGTCGAAGCAACACGCTAAATAAACGATGCCATCAAGTAGTGAACGAAATCAATCGTATATTCCTCACCCTATCAAACGACAGATTGTTTCTCATGAACAACAATATCAGATCTTAAAGTCACCGATCTCGACCAATTCTTCAGCTAGAAGTGACGGGACGCACCAAACTGTAAGTGAAGTAAACACAGCTTTATTCTCAATATGCATCGTTATTTTATGTAGGCAAGGTCAGGCAAAAGTATATCACCATCTGCCATAACTTTAAAACAAAGCCAACTCCGTACAGTACCTAGTCAACAATCTACGTACGTTCTTTATTATGTCATACACCGCCTAAATTTTTCTTTTTATCTGATTATTCATCCAGATGGTTAACCAAAAAATGTTTGCTGATAGCTTTAAGTGTAGTAGGTGTTATAGCTATCATTGCCATTGTTGTACCGATCGCAGTTATATTTGGTCAGACGCGCGGTGTGTATACAGGGGAATTAGATATGAAAAGTTGTTCAAACTTGTGCAATTTTAGGTTCACAGACTATCTCATCAACAGCATCTTCTATTGTCACTTCTGCATATTGGTCATTTGATAATACCACACAAGATTTGTATGGAATGTACAATGGAGTGCTAATCAATGGTGCCACGTATTATACATCACCCGGTAATACATATGCGACGACACCTTATTTTGGTCTTGGTCAATCTCTTTACCTGCAATCATCATTGAATCAATCTGTTATCATTAATAGTACATTCTTTAATTTTTCATACACGAGTTTTACAGTTGAAGCGTGGATTTATCCAACTACATTAAGTGGTGACAATGATATCCTTGGACAATGTCAAAATAGTCTTGGCACAAACCTTTGCTTATACTTGATCTTACGTGGAGGTCGGATGTTTATGGGCTTCGCACCCAATTATCTGTCAGGTGTAACGGTGTTGTCTGCCAATACATGGCATCATGTTGCCTACGTTTACAATTATCAAACACAACAACAAATTCTTTACTTGAACGGTGTTCAAGATGCCACACAATCAAGCGTGTCACCTTACCAAGGTCAGAACGGATCGATAACTATTGGAACGTCGTCAATCTTATCCACATCTAATTTCTTCAATGGCTACATTGATAATGTTGCTGTTACGACGAGAGCAAAATCTGCAACAGAAATTCTCAACGATGGAACTCTGAGTTTCTATTTCTCTTTTGATAATCCATCCCCATCGTTGGACAATGGTCCAAATGGTCTCAACTGTACAATTTCAAATGGAGCCACGGTTAGTGGTAGAGTAAATCAGGCTATACGATTAAATGGCGCTACATCATATGTTCAATTGTATGGCTTTTATCAATGGGGTTTTATCGCTGCAAAACCATTTTCATTCGCCATGTGGATCAATCCAATTTCCACTTATGGTGGTACACTATTACATTTCTCAAGTTCAAATACCGGCGGTAGTTGTCTTTCTCTTATGGGCATAACTATAGGTGGTCAAATAATAGTTCAGGCATGGTATAGCAATTATCCATCTATAGTTGGGCCACAGTTATCGACTAACACTTGGACACACATCGGCTTTACCTATTCGACAACAAATGGTATGATACTCTACTACAATGGTGTAGCGTATCTGTCTTTAGCTGTGCCTAGTTTTTATAATAATGGTTACATACAGTATTTAAATTTTGGTTCCAACCTTGCTTGTTGTGGATGTTCTAATGTGCCTAATTATCTTTTTCAAGGATCACTAGACGAGTTGTATGTTTATAGACGAGAAATTAGTGCGTCAGAAATGTCAACACTGGCACAATAAATGAACACATCAAAGTAATACAGCATTCATCGGCACTCGACTAGACATTCAATATCTCTAGTATTGCATGGAAGAAATATATGATCAGAATCTCTAAGTTGTGTTTTTTAATTTGCTGCTGCATTAGAAATCAGCGTAATTTTGCTGACAATATTGAAATCTAAACGCAAATAGATGAGAATATCTTTGGAGGTCATAAAAGACAGGAAGAGAAGTAATGAGTTACAATTATTTTTCCTATTTGATTTTCATATTTCAGGTATGTGTACAAATACATTTACGGGCTTTTCAAGCGTTGAAATCATAAACAAAAGTTTTCACAAAGCACAATTCTGATTGTTATATGTTTTCAGGATAGCTCGTCAGTATAAGAGGAACTGGCTGTTTCAACACAAACAGTTAGAGTCCTGTGGTCCTCATCAATCAAATAAGGATAGGTAGACGTATAGTTTCATAAATCGAAGAAGTTTGACAACGGCTTTTTAAAATACCCTGATATTGAGCGTACTATATGTAATTGTCTGTACATCATCTAGTGGCAACGTTTGTATTTGAAAAGGAGTTTAAATCTGCTGAAAACGCCCCTTTATGAAAAGTCCAGCTAAACCATGCCATACTCGTAGGGTACATAAGTTATAAAGTTCTTACCGTAGTTAGAAACAGTCTAATGTCATGTCCGCAGCATGACAAATCATCATCTCATTTGACGCACGTATTGAAGAAGGCATCTAGGTTATCTATCCATGAAAGAAACTCAGAATATTTCTATATATAATGTCGCATGGGCGGACTGGCTTTCCAAAGAGCTGCTCAAAGCTGTATTTTAAAAACCCAATTTCAAACGTTGTTTCCAGGGCATGATGAGGGATTCTAAGATTTAATGAAAAAAAAGATGCTAGGATCATAAGACCATTTTAAATACAGTCACAAGCAACTATTGGTTTTTTCAAAAGCTATTATAATTATACAACTCAACACTACTTTTTCTGTACAAACTCAGTATTCTTAACTAATTGTATTTTAGGAATAATGTTTGAAAATACGTCCTTCATAAGATATAATCTTCAGGATCAGAATTCACTTTACAAGCACTAAATACTCTTATTCTTTTAGTATCGTTTCGTGCACACTGACTTTGTTCGCCTGCCTCTGTGGACGATGTAAAAGTAGATTGTTTCTGTTATACAAAAAGGGACCCAACTTTATTTCATAAAATAATATAATATATATATAACCTTTTATTTATATTGCAGCCCTTCCAATAATCTACGTCACTACCCTTCTAATTCTGCATCAACAAAAGAACTTTAACGAGTCAGAGCGTCTGAATCGACGATGAAATCCATGCAAATTTCTCAGTGGAAAATACAAATAGTGGAAATGGTGTATGGACAAATGCATCTCTTTCATTGAGTTATGTTA